CATTTTTGTCTTCTTCACTAGAACCGCTGGGCCAATTTCGACCAACCCTGCCACAAAGCATCTTCGGGTAAAGGGGATTTAAGTTTGTTCAAGTGAAGGGTCACACCCTCTTTCAAGGGGGGATAATCAAGAATTAGTGAAAATTTGGTGGTATCATTTTAAAAAAGTCTTATCAAGAACCACTGACTGGGCCCAAAAAGTTGAAACTTTCTTTACATAGACTTAGTGTAGCTTCAAATTTGTTAAAATTATGACCCACTGGGGTAGGGTGGGGCCACATATGGGGATCCAATGATTTACATAGAAAAATGCAGGGGATTTTTTCCATCATAAATCTTCTTCTCATGAACAGCAAGGGCATTATTGTCGTCCGTTTTTGCAAAAGGGACCTATGGGACATTAAATCTCATTTGTCTGTCAGTCTGTCCATTTGTCAGTCTGTCCGTCTGTCACAATAAATTTAACCTTGGTCATAACTTCTGAACAATAAGAGATAGGGCTTTCATATTTCACATGTACATTACTTACAAGAACTTTCTAAACATACCATGATTTTTGAACACATGACCTTGACCTTGAAGTTTGACCTACTTTTCAAAAAATTTAACATTATTTTAAATGATCATTTTGAAAGAGAAAAGATAGGGCGTTCATATTATGCATGTATATTACCTGTGACAAGACCTTTCTAAATATATCATGACTTTTGACTCTGTGACATTGACCTTGAAGTTTAACCTACTTTTCAAAAATGTTATATTTCCTTATAACTTTTGACTGAGAAGAGATAGGACTTTTATATTTGACAGGTACATTACCTGTAACAAGATGTTTCCAAGCATGCTATGTTTTTTTTACCCCTTGACCTTGATGTTTTACCTAATTTTCAAAAATTTTAACTTTGGTTATTATTTTTGAATGACATATGATAGGGCGTGCACATTTGAAACAATATGTCATAAATAATGGCATCCCATCCACTATGACACGGAAAGTAGGGGACCACAATTCTTTGAATTTGCTTGTTAGTCATTTTGATATGGAAACATCCTCATATAGTGTAGATTCAAGTTTTTTATGCCCTGCCATGAATATGGCAGAGGCATATAGTGTTTGTCATGTCCGACTTCAATAAAACGTCATATGCTGATACATACTGATGTAAGCTTTTCAACTGCATCAAAATTTTTAACCTTGAATTTTCCTTTGACCTTGACCTTACTTTTCTTAAATTAGTGTCTAGATCAGTTTTGAATAAACAATTCAAGATATATTTATCAAACTTCATATGCTGATATATACTGCTGAGAGATATCAATTGCATCAACTTTTTTGACCTTGACTTTTCCTTTGACCTTGACCTCACTTTTTAAAATTAGTGTTAATCTACATTTTAAATAAACCATTTCTGATATTTTTGTTGAACTTCTATGCTAATAGTAAATACATACTGATATAAGTTTTTTAACTGCATCAACATTTTGACCTCAACCTTTCCGTTGACCTTGACCTCTCTTTTCTCAAATAAGTGTTAAGCTCAGTTTTAAATAAATCATTCAAGATATTTTTATCAAACCTAATATGCTGATATGTATTAGTGAGAGCTCTTCCACTGCATCAAAAACTTTTCACCTTGCACTTTCCTGTGACCTTGACCTCCCTTCTCTTTAATCTGTATTTTGCTTAGTTTTAAAGAAACAATCTAAGATATTTTTATGTAAGCATGCACTTATAGATAATTTTGTGAGAATTTATCGTTTATATCCATTTTTTTAGATTTTAGTTTCAATTTTAAAGAAACTGTTCAAGATATTCTCATCAAACTTCATACACTCATACAAATTTTCATGTTGCATTAGTAATATACATTTGGCGGGGCATTTATGTCCTATGGACATATTTCTAGTTTTCAAATCATGACCTCCGAGGATAGGGTCAGGCCACAATAAGGGATCAAAGTTTTATAGAGATTTAAAAGGAAAAAATATCTTCAAAATTCTTCTTTTTAAGAACAACAAAAGCATGATTAATATGGAAACATTCCCAAGAAGTGTAGATTCAAGTTTGTACAAATCATGACCCCATGGGTTAGGTAGGGGCCATTTTTTTCCTGCCCCTATTTGCTATCCACATGGAAATGCAAATTTTAAAACCATTTTACACATCCCCAGGACAAAATCAATCATCTTCCAAATGATCATGATTTAAGGCTAGTGCATAAAATATAAGGGAAGTTCTGGGAACCAGGATGTTTAAACATGTTAAATATTTTTTTTTAAAAAATTGACCCCCATTTGACCCCCAGGGGGAAAATAAGAATTCCGAAACCTTACTGCACATCTATAGGACACCACCAACCATCTCCCAAAAGACGATTAGGCTACTGTGTAAAATGTAAGAGGAGTTCAGGGAACCACAGGCTTTTTGCATAAAAGACGTCATTTTTCGACCCCCATTTGACCCACAGGGTGAAAATGAAAATTCCGAAACCTTACTGCACATCAACATGACACCACCAACCATCTCCCAAAAGACGATTAGGCTACTGTGTAAAATGTAAGAGGAGTTCTGGGAACCAGGGGCTTTTTGCATAAAAAACGTCATTTTTCGACCCCCATTTGGCCCCCAGGGTGAACATGAAAATTTCGAAACTTTACTGCACATCTACATGACACCACCAAACACCTCCTAAAAGATGATTAGGCTAATGTGTAAAATGTAAGAGGAGTTTGAGAAATAAGAGTGTGACAGACGGACGGACGGACGGACGGATGGACAGACATGAGTAACAACAATATACCCGAACTTTCTTTAGAAAGTGCGGGTATAAAGATTGTTTTTTTAGAATCCGCTTTAGAGTCAGAAATTGTATCAAGTCTTAAAGCTTTTAATCAATAAATCTTTTTAAAGCGGTAATTTGAAGTTGTTATTTTCCTCAGGTTCTTCCTCTATCTTGTACCGTGTCGGTACCACCTAGATATTTCCGTTCTTTCATTCTTAAGAACGATTACCTATATTGTATACAGACCCCATTTCTTACTTATATTTAACATACCTCTTGTGCAGCCAGTGATTGTGTCCTACCACTTCATTAATTAAACTATTTTGTTCACATAAAGAGAGGCTTAATGTCAGAATTAAATAGAACCTCTCCTGTCAATTACAAAAACTACCTGTACCACTTTTGTTCTGGAGCAGAACCTCGGATCTAAAGAATACGTGATAAAGAGATATGACAGGCTGTTTGAAAGCTATGTAAGTATTGTTAAAGTTCTATTTACATAAGACTCGGGTGAGCTTTAAATAAATATAAAGAAGAAAAAGTCCAAGCCAGATTCTTGTTCATGTCTTCAAAAAAATACATAATGACCAATTTTTGACAAAATATAGATTGATAATTCAAGGATTGCAATAACTAACAAAGTTTTCCCGTTGTCTTAGGACGTGAAAGGTTTGACTTGACCGAACGTTTCAGCTAAGTATGTATGACTGACATCTAATGACTGACACAATATGAAAATCCTTAAATTAAGCTCTGCTCCCAATTTGTACTGTTCCAATGAACTTTTAAGCTTGCTTACTGTTTTTTTTTTTTTTTTTTTTTTTTTTTTTTTTTTTTTTTTGATATTTCATCTAGGTATCAAGAGGCGTAACTTTGATTAGTCCTAGTCAAACCGTCAAATATATCGCGGTTACATTAGTTGTTGTGTAAAAGAAATAAAAAAAGAAAATGAATTTTTGTATGAAAAAATATGATCGAGGAAAAAGTGTATCTTCATCTATTATTATTTATTTATTGATTAAGTCATACATGCATCCATTTCACCAATAACTTAAATACAAAATATTACAATGATGGCATTGTATGGCGGTCTTTATAGATTATATATATATAATACAACATGTAACATTAATGATTTCATGGAGAACTACCATATGAGAGAAAGCTTTCTCTCAATTTAAAAGCAAAATGAATATATTTTCTGTAATTACAGAGATCATGAACGTTGTGAGCACTTAATGATTGTGCAAATTTAAAAACAGATGGCTTCTGTCAGTTATACATCTTGATATAATTTTTTATGAAGCTTTTCAAAATGTGGACAAATTAAAACAAAATGGTATTCATCTCTATTTCACTTTTACACATTCTGCACATTCTACTCTTCCTAGGTATTGTATTATGTTGTCCTGTCTCAATTTCCAGATTATGATATGAAAGCCTAATTCGACTAATTTGCTTTTTGTACATAGAAGGTATGGGCTTACAAAGATAATACTGTTAAGAAAAATTGTCTATTATATGTTTGTAAATATTACAATTTGAAGAATAATTGATTTCTTCCAAAAGATTCGAACACAAATGCCAATCAGTCTTTGTTTTATAATTGGGGAAAAAATTCTGGAATAAGCTCTATCTTGTTCACACAACATGTATCCTAACCCAATTTCATACAATTTTTCTTCAATATAAAAGGCCCAATTTTTCTTACTGTTTTTCATTCTGTCACAGTTATCTTATAGTTCATCAGAAAAGTTTATATTATATTATTTTCACTAGAAAAAAACCTTGAACCAGAATTTGAGTATTCTATACAAGTATATCGAGTAATTTTCATATGTAGACTTCCAGTTTTCTAAATACACTGAAGCAGAGTTTGTGTATTTTCTTACGTCTAAAACAAATTTTATAAAAGACATCTGATTGTCAGCATGTCCATTACTTAATTGTAAGTTTCCAAGATACAAGCCCAATAATTTCAGTGTCAGTACAGAATGTCAAAAGAATATCCTTATTATAATATACATGTATTTCAAAAGTTTAGAGCAAAAGACGTAACTTTTAGAAGAATATAATAAAGAAAGCGTTGCATCTATAAACTAAAAAGCCGAACTGACATATAAGTAGGCGTAACCCGATCATCAGTTAATCTTAAAGTTTCACTGCACTGCATGTCCGGTATATAAATAACGAGTGTTTCAATAAACCAACATTACCCAGCGTGAGTGGGTCTGTATCTTGTAAATAAAGAAACATTGCAATTCTCGTTAGCGAAAATAACCAGATAACGGCTGATTAGATTAAAGATTGGAATTGGGAAGAAGAAGGTAATTTTTTTTTGTAATTACCATTTCTGTATACATTTAAAAGTATATGACATTTTTTGGTTTTAATTCAAAGAGTAGATATGGAAATTTATGAAAAGCCTAGGCTTAATTAGATGGTTCTTAAAAAGTGCAATGTTCTAATTTTAAAAGAATTCAGGTATTATCAAAATGATATGAGCACATAACTTTTGTAATTAGTTGCAAAGCTGTAGACTTACTATATTTAAGATTATTCAAATACTGGTACATACCGAGTTATTTTTTATGATAACTTTTTCAACTTAAATATGCACTATTTTGTTTTTCAAATTGATTAAACGCAGCACTGATTTCATAATCACATCACGTGACAAAATTTAAGCAATAATCAAATTTTAGTCTTAGTGGAAATGGACTTTAGTATATATACACGCATAGGACTACTGGTATCGCCTGTGTATATGTATAATTTGTTTTCGCCTTTTACATGTAGAATTCCTAGAGGTAGTGTTAGGAAATAAATATAACGAGAAACATCATCAAATACCTCCCATTTCTGTCGCCATATGGGTTCTCTAAATAAAACAAATGGTCTAAATAATCAAGGAAAGTCTAATCCACAAACTAATTGCAACAGAAACTTTTTTGTGAAAATTATTACCTTGCAAGGAATGAATATTTGATTTTGAAAATGAAGTCCGATTACAGAGAAAGAACTCTGCACAGTATGGCGAATACGGTAATTGTTCAACAACCAACAGCAGCTGCTGTTCCCGATAATCAGCTGATGGTGACAGACATTACAGGTCGTAGAGAGTGGTCTACGGGTCTGTTTGACATCTTCACCAATGTCGAAAAGAGTAAGTGTCAAAATTTCAACCACAACAAAGTAGTTCAATCGTAACACTCAAAACAATATTTTTTATTAACGCATTTTTAAATCTATATAATATGTTTTAGAGATGTTAATTTCATTCATTTGTGTGATCGTAAATGAAAGGCTCAGGGGCCTTAATTGTCTCCTGAGTATAATACAACCTAGCTGTCAAGAATCCAGGCCCGTAGAACGTAGTATAACACATGTATTTTAATATTGTAGATATTCCTTTAGATGTTGGTCCCCCCCCCCCCCCACACACACACTTGTCACTGTAAGGTCGAGCACTGGCAAATTCCAGGAATAAAACATTTTTTTAAGTTTGCTAGTCAGATTATTTTGAGATTATTTTGGTAAGTTGCCTCCCCCTTTTGAAACCGTTGTTACGGGCCTGGAATTACAGAATTGCATCGTAATGATTATATAATAATGCCAAATAAACTTTTAGAGGGAAATGTGATGCACAAAAACAAGAGAAAAATAGGGCAATCAAGGACCAACAAAGTGGCTAGTCTGGTAGTCTGCAAAATTTTTCACTCAACAATGTTGCCTAGTATACGGCTGTTTTTCACTACCGCCATTCTTAACAGCGAAATAGTGCTATAGAATATTACTTTAAAGTACGCAGCTACCATCTGCCATTCAAGTAGCCTCTCCTGGGATTTAAGTTATAGTACAAAAAATAAGGTATTTTTGGCTAATGTTTTAACTATTTATTTATTATATACAAGTCAATGCGACACTTAAATGATACATAAGTTCTTTTTCTATTATACGTAATAAACTCTTGTACAATTTTTTTTAAATGAAAATGACCCATAAATTACAAGGTTTACAGCATTTTATTATCATAGGTAAAAATTTACAGGGAAATAACTTTTCTCTAATTATAGAGTAAAGATATTCCTATATGATCAATAGAGCCCGGTCCTAGAACCAGAACCCCTCACCTTGTAGTCATGATTTACCATTTCTGGTAATTACAACGATGTATTTCATTGACCTGCTAGATGCCCAGGAGCACAGAAGATTTTTTTAAAAAATGATAATGCATTTTCACTATATGATCGATAGAGTCTTGCTCTAAACCAGAACTCCAGATCCAGGGGCATGGTTTTGACAATTTAGGTAAAGGCGACTTGCTCATTATAATCATACATTTATTTTATCTTTTAAATACCCAGGAGCAAGGGAGAATATTTTCAAACAATTTTTGCATTTTCAAGATTTGATCAACAGACCTCCTCCCTAACGCCAGAACCCATGACCCTGGGCCATAAATGTCACCAGTTAGGTAGAGGTTCCCTTGCCTATCATAACCGTGCACTTATTTTGTTTGCTAATTATACTGGGGGAGAGATTAATTAAAAAAAATATTAAAGCAGTATTAAAGCAGTTTCACTGTCTGATAAATAGAATCCTACCCTAGCACCATGCAGATCCCCTCACCCATGCTCCATAAATTTCACAATATTAAAGGCTCAATGGTCATTATGATCATACTAACATTTTGACTGTTTGATATTGAGAAAAAAGTAGAAGATTTTGAAGACTGCATTTGATGGTTTTGGTCCCATCCCTTAGGCTCTTTGGGTAGGAAGTGATCAAGAAATTCACAGTTTTTGTTTCCCTTTGCTCCTAGATAATACAAACCAAAATTTGTTACATGGTTAAGAGGTTCCAGAGAAGAAGTAAAAATGTTTAAATATTATCGGACGACTTACGACGCTCGAGGACGGACGAAAACAGATCACCATTGGTCACCTGCATGAGGGACTCAGATGACCTATTTAATCGATTACATGAAACCTTATTATTTTTTCTATATTGTATATGTGAAATCACACATGAAATATTGCTGTAACTTAAGTTTCTTATAATATATAATGATAAATAAATATTTGCACTCAATCAAGATTCAACAATTGTGTATGAAATCAATTAAATTAACAAACAATCAAAAACCAAAAAAAAAAAAAAAAAAAAAAACCGAAAGAGTTACTATAATCCATAACTTAATATCATGCAACTGTTTTTTTCCCGAAACTCAGAAAGCGTTGTATCCATAGAATTTCCACATAACAGTAACTGTTTTGACAGTTAAAGTGAGAATTTGTACTTATTACTATCTTATAACTCAGTTTGAAAAAAAAAAATCACCCATGCATTTTATCTCGACATGAAGAAATGATGAAGAAAACGGACATACTAATATTGTATTCATCAATAACATAATTTTGCTGGAAAACAGATCTAGAGCTGACTTACTGAAAATAAATGAAATAATAATACTAATATATGGTATTTAAACAGGCTTACTCACATACTTCTTTACACCATGTTACAAGTATAAATTGGCGACCAGGACCGGCGAGGGTTGCTGTTTGGCTTTCTGTGTTACTGGAGCAATGACCATCCTGAGGAGCAGAATAAGGACCATAGGAGGGATCAGGGTATTTCATGTCGATTGAAAAATTCTATAATTCTATTACAATGTATATGAAACGTTTTCCTTTAATACGGGTAATAATTTTAAAAAAAAATCAACCACAATTTCTATATTAAAATCATTTTTTAAAATAAAAATTATTTGTATATTTATGCAGGGTTCCGCAACAGAGGACTTTTTGGTAGTAAGTTTCTGTCAACCATGTGCAATGTGCCAGATGGATCGAGAACTTGACCGCATGGGTGTTCCATAATTTTGAACAAAGAAGTTTACTCTCTTTCATACACTTCTAATTTTTATCTACAATAACTGAAATTTTTATTCCTATCTGATTGTTATTAATTCTTAATTAAAACAAAATTGTTCTCCAAATATTTTTGATAACTTTAGAATAAAATTATGTTCATTGCACATGCATAAACTACGCCTTTAAATGTGCATGAGCCATAATGGTTTCTTAGTATGTGAATCGGTGCAATCCACAGTGTCTTGGAAAGAATATAATTTTTATACTTCATTTAAAGATATATGAAGCCATGAATATGTCATAAAACTACAAAATATAATCCTCGGAAATTCTATGAAATTGAACAGCACGTTTAATTGAGTATGAATGCAAAAGGACATAGCTTCCATAACAAGCAACAAACAGGAATCCCTTTATTTGAAGCCTCTTTGAAAGACTTTTGCAATGAATTGAAACAATTGATCGAAGTTTCGTATTAGTTAAAAAGCTCTATATATGTTAAAGCACTAAAAGCCTCTGATTTCAAATAACATTTTTAATCATAATAAAAAGTAAACAAAACAAGGGCACAGCAAAGCGGAGCATCCCCTCGAAAAGAGCATATCTCTAAATCAAGGCAGTACTCGTCATCTACCCCAATGCAAACTACCGTAACGTCACTTCCGTTTCGCACAAGGAAAAACAAACTAATACACACACAAAAGCGCGTTACCATATCCCCTCCAACTCCCTGTTAACCAACATTTGTATGTATTCAAAGAAATCATTCCGAATAAGTTTATCAAAACTTATGAACTGAACATATTGGTGAGAACTATTAAACTATGGAGGGTAATCGTGTCTCTCTGTCTGTCTGTCTGTCCCTCTGTCTGTCTGTCAGTCTGTCCCACTTGGTTTTCCGCACTTTTTTCCTAAACGCTTGCAGATATTGAGCTGATTTTTTTATATGTGAGTGTATCTTGATGAGCTTCAGATCAAGTCTGCATTTCGTTCCGCTTCATTGAATTTTGACGGAATTAAGGCCTTTTCAATTTTTAGGGGTTTTCCGCAATTTTCTTCTTTACGCTTTCAGATATTGAGCTGATTTTTGGTATGTGACTTAACTTTGATTAGTTATAGACCAAGTTTGCTTATCGTTCTGCTTCATTGATTTTTGACGGAATAATGACATTTTCAATTCTTAATGGGAACCAGATTACACTTGCCGGTAGGGGACTAGTATTGCTAATGCAATACTCTCAGAATGCTTGTTTATTTTATATATTTTATTATGGCAATTTTGATTCCTTTCGTATTTTGATTCTATCTTAAAATTTCAATTATGTTTCACTTCACCTAACTTTAAATACTTAATTGTTTTGGTAACAAGCATTCTGAGAGTATTGCATTAGCAATACTAGTCCCCTACCGGCAAGTGTAATCTGGTTCCCATTAAGAATTGAAAATGTCATTATTCCGTCAAAAATCAATGAAGCAGAACGATATGCAAACTTGGTCTATAACTAATCTAAGTTAAGTCACATACCAAAAATCAGCTCAATATCTGAAAGCGTAAAGAAGAAAATTGCGGAAAACCCCTAAAAATTGAAAAGGCCTTAATTCCGTCAAAATTCAACGAAGCGGAACGAAATGCAAACTTGATCTGTAACTCATCAAGATACACTCACATATAAAAAATCAGCTCAATATCTGCAAGCGTTTAGGAAAAAAGTGCGGAAAACCAAGTGGGACAGACTGACAGACTGACAGACGGACGGACAGACTCAGAGGAAACCTATAGTCCCCTCCGGTTTCACCGGTAGGGGACTAATAACTATAAGCAAAATCGAAAGTTTGTTTAAGAAAGTAAAACTTACAGAGTTAAACTAAGAAATCCGAATAAAATTTAAACGAAAGGGGGCGCTACGGCCTTTTATGTACAGGTACACAGAGATCTTGGCGAACAGTCTAGATACGAAACGTAGAAACATTTCCATGGAACGTATTTTTTTTTTTCATTTTAAAGACCATATATCATTCTGGCGTGTTTTCTCTCGTTTTCAGGCCCGTAGGAAGCATTTTCATTGGGTGGGGGGTGGGGTGGAGCAGTGGGCACAAAACAAAATTTCTTGATAAGCTCCCCACTCCCCCCCCCCCCCCCAATGAAACATTCCTGTTGAGGGAGCACTACGATGAATTAGCCTTATTTCTTTTCTTTTGTATTTACCGACAAAATTATTGAGGGGGCACAATCAGAAATTGCTTTTTTTATTGGAATAGTATATACTGGCACCCTCACCCCAATTGCTACCTACGGACCTGGTTCGGGGCTTTAAAACTTAGATGAGCTCACTTTTGATCCCAGTCTCTCTTTTCTACATACTATTAATCCCTTTGGTAAATGTGAGACTGTGATCAAAAATGAGCCCGTCTAAGTTTTATGGCCCTGATCCAAGATGTTTCAAATATGATAAATATGACCACCATTTTTGATTGCCCGCTTATGGTACACAAATATCAGGTATCTTTAAGTTGATATTGTCATCACATTATTTTTTTAAAGTAGGACAGAGAAAAAAAAAATTTCACTAACAAATCTCAGGTCCGAAGTAGGAGGGATCGAAAGGTTGGGCTCCCAATTTTTTTGCTTGGAGAATAATCTTTTGCAGCTGTTTTAATATGAAAATTAATTTATAGGCTGTATGCCCAACCACCCCCACCCCCATATTCTGCAGTATCATTAAACTCTGGCAAATTCTTGCGTTGAAAAGAAAGTTACTGAAAAGTTAAAGATATCCTAAACATCGCCTCACACGAAGGAGGAGTTTGGGCAGTTTATTTATTTTTTTCATCGTCAATTTTTTTGGAGCCAACCCCCCCCCCCCCCCCCTAAAAATTGATACGGATCTTTATCTACTGAGTGGTTGTTGTTTTTTTTAATATGATATCATTGCAGTTACATTGGTTCTAAATAAACTGGAGCACTGATCACAGTAGCCTAGTGGTTGGGCGCTAGCTTCGTAGGCCATTGGAGGGTAAGAGTTCGCTTGTCCTAAGTTCCTAGTGCCCGCCGGCAAAATCTAAGACGCTTAACATTTTAACATACGTGTTGGTTAGGCCCGTAGGAAGCAAATTCAGTTGGGGGGGGGGCACAGCCATACATTTTCAGTTGACAGTTGAGGGGGCACTACCAAAATACCAAAAATTTCCTGACAAGCAAAAAAGAGAAAAAAAAGGTCATCAGCCGTTTTTATTGAGCCCCCCCCCCCCCCCGATTCCTACGGCCATGTTGGTAATGACTATTCCTTCGTCATTGAGAGTGTTGAAAGTGAAACTGAATAATTTTTCGGTTGAGACCTTAAAAACCGAAGCCCCTCTAGATCCGCGCAAGCCGTGAATAGGCGGGTAATGATTCATGTCACATCGTCAAATAAAATAAAATTAAGAAGTTAAATAAAATTGGAACATATAAACAAAGAGTTAGTATTAAAATTAAATAACAAACTCAAATGAAAATATTAATATAAAATTGGAAGTTAGAATAAAAAAAGAAATAAAATCTAAATAATTTATTTCAGTTGGAAAACGAAGAAGTTAGAAAAAAAGGGAAAAAATGTGGCACTGATGCCCCTCCATAGTTTCTCATTATCAAAATTCGACAATCATTGCTAGCGCTCTCGAGCGCTAGCAACTACGTTAGTCTTTACTTCTGAAATACGCATGCTCGACTTCACGGTCGGGGATTCTGGGAAAACTACTGTACATAGACTGTACGATAACAATTTCGTTTTGTCATACAAAAATAGAAATGATCCGAATTTACACTGGCCTTTCCTGTCTGATATGCGCGATATACATTTCGTAGGTTAGAGACAGACAATACCAGTCTAGATCCGGATTCTGAATTTTTTAAAATTTATTGTCTAACCTACACATAAAAGTACAAGAAAAAATTTGGCCATATAATGCCAAGATTCTAGACATCTAGCTTCCCTTACAGTTTTACCACCTTAGTGGATAATTCCGACAAGCTCGGAAAAAACAGCAACAACAAAAATCTTTTTCAGAGTATGTCGGAAAGACATGTCAATTTAGTGTTTATCATCTGAAAATACACATGATCTGAAGTTTCGTGTTTTATTGTCTAACCTGCACGTAAATGAACAAAAAGTAACAGTAACTCGGGTCTTATAAAACCAAGACTGTTATTTCTAAAGTTGTAATGAATACATAGCTTTTCTAATCTACCTTCATGGATCTTTCCGGCAAGCTCGGAAAACCGCGGCAACCTCGGATATGTTTTCCGAGCTTGCCGGAAAGGTCCGAAGGTGCTCATTGGTTCTACTGACCTTTTATTTTTCACCTCGAAATTGAAATTACAGTAAAATACAGAATGCTTAAATCACAGTTAGGAGTTATGCCATTGCCGACGCAGGCCCGTAGGAAGCAATTTCAGTTTGGGGGGGCACAGCCAAACATTTTTCAGTTGACAGTTGAGGGGGCACTACTAAAAATTTTCTGACAAGCAAAAAAAAAAAAAGGTCGTCAACTACCAAATATTCCTTGACAAGCAAAAAAAAAAAAAAAAAAGGTCATCAGGCGGTTTTATTGAGGGGGCACATGCTTATAGTATCTATGTTTACTATAGTAATCTATATATCGGCAAAATTATTGGGGGGCACGCCCCCCCGTGCCCCCTCGGTTCCTACGGCCATGCGACGTGAAGCACACTCTTAGATTCACCATCCTGAATTGTGACACCCCCACCCCCCACAAACTCAACCCCCAGTGCACCAATCTACCTTCCTATTAAAAATTAATCGATTCAGCAAATTTAACAAATGGTTCAGATATCTTCTTCTGTATTTTATTATGCTACAGCGCTAGCTCACCAATCTTTTTAAAAGATAAGCTTGTGTAGACTTTACATTTGTAGACTTGTCAATTGTCTTTGTGTTTTATTCAGAGCGCGGAAATATAAATTCCGGAAAACAAAGTTTACAACATCAAAAATACACACATTCATAGTATAAACTCGAAGTCAACACAGTTCTATGTTCGGAACTACATGCTAGGATGTCGGAATTACCTACTTACATATGTATACTATGAAACTGATATGATTCCAAGTTTGGATTTACAAACTTAAAAGTTTGGATTTACAAACTTAAAAGTTTGGATTTAC